GGCCACAGCCAGGCCTTGCCCAGTTCTGGGAGCGCAGCGCCTGCCTGGGGCCGCTTTGGAGTCGTGACGTGACCCCCGGAGTAGGCGGAGGCCTGTGTGGGCATCGGGGGCCACCCCCCGCCCCCGCCGTCCCGGCTGAGCGGCTCCCCCGCCTCGTCCACCCTGCAGGCCCGGTCTCGTTACCATGAGTGATTTCTTTAAATAGGTTCCCACAGATTCTGCAGATTTCGTCTCCTCACAGGGGAGCACTTTAAAACCGAGCCCAGCCAGATGTGGGGCGTGGGTCGGGGGTGCCCACCCGGGGAGGCGGGACCGAGGGGCCTCCTGCCACGGTGGTGAGACCGCCCCCACTGAGTCAGCACCGCGGACAGTGCCCAGGGCGGGCGTCCGGGCGGAGCCACCCACGGAGGGGAGGCGGGGCCATGGAACTGCAGGCCACTACGGGCAGCAGGGTCACCCCCCACAGGTGGCACCAGGGCCCTGCTGTCCGGTCTGCGGTGTGACCCGCAGGGTGGTGCCCTCGCTGTGGCAGAGTTTGCATCGAGGTCGCCTTGCGAAGCACTTGCTGTTCTTGGTTAGACCGGTTGTTAGCGGGAGGGACACTCAGCTCCCCACGCCCCCCGCCTCCCCCAGGACCGAGCCCTGGGGCAGCCTCAGGTCTGGGGCAGAGACATCCAGGGAGGGAGGACCCGGCTTTGTTCCTGGTCCCGATGTCCTCATGAGTCCTCCACCAGTGCTACCGGAAACCCGCACCCTGGTCACGGCGGTGTCCTGTCTCCGAGGCAGCCCCGCGAGGCCCAGCTCCCCAGCTGCGGGTGCCTGAGCGTGGCAGGCGGGGCCGTGTGCAGGCCTGGTGGGCGCCCCAGGCCACTGGGCCTCCCCTGTCGCCAGTGCTGCCCCCCCAACCCCTGCACGCACACGCCCCAGGCGCCCCTTCTTCTAGAAGCTTCCCCAGCCGGTGGCCGCCCCACCCGCCTGCCCTCCCTCCCGGACCCTGTGCTGCTTCCACAGTGCGGCCTCCTCACTGGGGTCCCCACACACCCCGGGCCCAGGGTGGGGGCCACGGGAGGCGGAGACCCCCCCTCCGGGACCCGTGTCTTGACCCTGGCTGGCTGCGCAGGCCTGTAAGGAAGCTTCGGGCCTGGGCTCCGGGCGGGTCCCGCAGGACCCTCCTCTCCCCGCAGAGGCCCTGTCCCAGGCGGGCCCCACCCTGCCGGCGGCCCCCATGTGCCTCCCAGTCTGCACCCGGCGGTGACACCGGGGACTGCTGACCACCAGCCGCGAGTGCACCTGTCAGAGTCACTCAGGTCTGTGTTCTGTCATCCAGCCTGTCAGACCCCTGTCCTCACCCAGTGTGATTACCCGGCTTGTCTGCCGCACACGGGTATGGCGTGGTTGGAGGGCCCAGGCCCGGCCAAGCCTCCCCGGACTGACCCCTGCCCGCCCGGCGCCCACGGGGCCCTCGGTGGCCGCCCAGAGCTGCCCTCTGCTGCGCCATCTGTCGGAGCCGGACACTGTGTCCACCCGACACCCGCCAGTGCAGAAGGACACATCCGCACAGCTTGCGTTGACACTGTCATGTGGCCGCAGCCCATGTTTGGGGGTCGGGTGGGCGCCTCGAGGGGCTGGTGCCCAGGCGGAGCTTGGTTCCCTGGTCTGGCTCCGAGACTAAACGGAACATGACGAGACCTGACCCCGCACACAGCAGCCGGGCGGGCCCCTGACCCATGGCCCTACTGTCCTGGTGTCCACAGGCACTTCCTGCTGTGCCCCGTCCGAGCCCCAGTGTCACAGATCCTGGCCCTGGGGGCGCGACGTGACCCCCGGGAGCCGGCTCTGCGAGGCCTGCGGACTCGGGGCTGGGGGGTGAGTGAGGCTTCAGTGCCGCCTCCTTCCGTCCAGCTCAGCAGCGGCCTGGGGCTCGCACCCCACGGATGTGCCCAGGGCCGGGCAGACGGAGAACCCCGACCTCGGCCTGGCCCCCCCCACCTTCCCCGTGTGTCCCCACAGTGGCAGCAGACCGTCCTGCCCACCGCCGCCCCCACCACCTTGGCCTGGAGCCGCCCGGACCCTGGGGGGCCTGGCTCTGCGCCCCCCACCCCCAAGGCCCTGGTTCTTCTTCAGGACGATGGGGGATGGTCAAGCTCTGTGAGGCCAGGGTCCGGGTCTCAGCGCTCCAGGGCGGTGTGGATGGACAGAACGACTCCGTGAGGGGGAGCTTCACGGTGTCGCGTGGGGTCCCAAGGCAGACGGCCGCCCTCTGAGCCCACACACAGGTTTGGGACCCCGACTCAGGGCCGGGCTCCCCGAAGGGAGCAGCCACTCGGCAGGGCGGGTGGGGGCGTGGAAGCGGCCTTGGACCCAGTGATTCTCCTGGCCCCTGAGCGTCCCCACGGCGGGGGCGGCCGCCTGTGTGGCACCTGATTCCATCTCCAGCGGGTGGCCTGCCACCAAGCGTCTGAGGACACGGCCTCCGCCCTGCCCACCCCCACCCCTCAGCACGGACACCGGCCTCCGGGCGCCCTGGCTGCCCCTGCGCCTTTGGTGGACGGCGGGTGTGGGCATCTGTTGGCTCCCCCAGGAGGCGGGGACAATGTCCCAGACCCCGCCCACCCGGGGGCTCGGTCCCTGTGCAGGGCGGGGAGGCTGCGGAGGAGGCTGGGTCTGCAGGAGCCCCCCCAGCACCTGGCACTGAGGAGTGAAGACGAGGGGGGCCTGGAGGGGGGCGTCTGTGCCACCGCAGGAACACTGGGTGGAGGGACAGAGGGGCCCTGGTGGCATCGCAGCCGAACCCCGAGCCTTGTCAGCTGGGCATCAGCGAAGAAATGGAGGAGCACGGGCAGGTGGGGGCTCTCGGGCCGGTTTTCCCTTTGGAAAGCCGGGTGTCGCTGCCCACAGAGCTGCGTTCAGGTCCCTCCCCAGCCCGTGGGTGGGACCACGTTCGGGAATAGGGCACGGGCAGCCGTGGGCAAGGGGGCACGACCTCACCAGGGTGGACGACGAGGACCCTCCCCCACAGTGACCAGTGAGCTTGTGAGGAGCGGAGGGACCAGGGGCCTGGTGGTCTGGTCGTTTCACGCCCGGGACCCCGGGTCCGTGGGCTGTGGTCCAGAATCCCCGGCCCTGGGGATGGGGGCACGAGGCTGACAGCTGCTGGGGGACCGCCTGCCTGAGGGGTGCCCTGGACGAAGAGCCCCTCCCGGGGTCCAGCTCAGCTGGTGCCACGTGTGGGACAGGTGCTCCTCCCAGCCGGTGGGCGCCGATGCCCAAACACCGGTCTGTTAGTGCCTTCGTGGGGGAGGGGGCGCAGGGCTGGCTGTTTGCTTCGTTACTTAGCGACCAGGGCTTCCGGAGCCCCAGGGGACGGACCGCGGCTGGCCACCACCGCCAGCCCGCCCGCCCCAGGTGTCTGTGGGCGGGCAGCCGCGAGGACCAGGAATAGCAGAGCAGCCCCCTCCGCCCGCAGAGCCTCCACAGCAGCCGGGACGGCGCCCACGCAGCTGCCAGTCTGCGAGTCGGGGCCGGGCCAGCCGTCCCTCACGGTGCCACCTGCAGCCTGCGGGCCCGTCCCCGCCCAGACCCTGGGGACCCGCCGTGGGGTCTCCGGGGCTCTCACGGGAAAAGCGTCACCTCGCTGCCCCAGACACTTCCCTCCACTGTGTTCGCTTATCTCCATACTTATATCCGTGTCTCTGTGTTTTTGCCCTGTTCCCAACAATGTGTGATTTTGTGTGTGATGAGCAGGCCTGAGTCAGAATCTGCAGTCCGAGCCTGCAGGGCTGCCCCAGGGCGCCGGCCACAGGGCGAAGGAGGGGCCCCCACTGCCCCGGAGGCCCTGCCACACCGCCTGGGCGGTCCCCGTGACACCTCACGTGCCATCCACGTGCACAACACCCCGCACCCCGGGCCGGGTGTGGGTTTTCTGGGGAGAGTGGTATCTTGGGGAGCGCAGGACTGCCCCTCTGCTGGGAGACCGGCCCTGCCAGCCTTGGGAACGGCGCTCTCCTGGGGACACAGGGGCCAGTCTGGGTGAGGAAGCCAGCCGACCTCTCTGGGCGGTCATCTTCACGCTGGACGGGTCCCTTCTCTGCACTCTGGTCCCAGAGCCAGACCAAGGCCACTGGGCTCGTCCCTTCCCTCCAGGGTCCTGGGATGGCTGGGAATGGGGGGCAGGGGCAGTGCCCACGTGGGACAACCGGTGACGGGCACAAGTAGGTGGCCCGTGAGCTCCTGTGTGTGTCTGCACAGGGTCCGTGTGAGTTTTAGGAGAGCGTCCGTGTGTGCCTGTGCGTGCGTGTCTGCTCCAGCCACGTGTGCACTGTAGGAGGGCCTCTGTGTGGACGTGCGCTTGTCCACAGGGCACCCGCACGGGGCGTGAGGCCTCCGTGTGTCTGGGCCTCGGTGTGTTCGCGCCCAGGCCCCGCTGACACGGAGCTCTGCCGGCCTTGCTCGTGCCCGTCGGCCAGGAGCACGGTCTGACTTCCTGGAGGGTCCGGGAGTCTCTCTCTGCGTGCACCTCATGTGCGCCTGTGGGCGAGAGGAGACTGCAGCGGCCCCGCGTGGGGGGTCGTGGGAGGGTTCCCCCGCTCTTGGCCTGCAGGAGGCCTGTGCTGGCTCCCCCACCCTCACCGGCGTGGATGTGGGGACCCTGGGCCCAGCGGGGGCTCAGACCTGCACTGGGGGCTGCCCGGGGGCCCTGCACCACCACGTGGCCTTTTATTTCCTGGTGACGGCGACGAGGCCACATTTCATTTCCTGTCCGCCCTGGCAGGGCCGTGAGCAAACGCTACCCCGTGTCAAAGTGGGGCTCGCCGGCCCGGTCGGCTGTGCGGCTGCTGCAGGGCGAGTCCCCGGCAGGATGGTCCCAGCTGCCGAGGACGGCGGCCTCCTCGGGCCCCTCTGTGGGTCGGGCTCTGGGCGGGCGTCCGGCTGCAGGGCCAGGTGGCAGTGGCTTGTCCCAGGGCCCGGTCACTCAGCCCACACCCGCGCCTCTCTTGCAGGTCAGCTGGCCGCCGGCACCTGTGAGATTGTGACCCTGGACCGTGACAGCAGCCAGCCCCGGAGAACAATCGCCCGGCAGACGGCTCGCTGCGCGTGCAGGAGGGGGCAGATCGCGGGCACCACCCGGGCCCGGCCCGCCTGCGTGGACGGTGAGAGCCTGGGGACCCCACCACAGGATGCTCTGTGGGTCGTGACAGCCCCTGGGGGTGTGGCGTCCAGGGTGGTAGGGAGCCGGGTCCCCGGTGAGCTGCAGCTCGTGGTGCCGCCGTGGGCAGAGGGGAGCTCGGGGCGTGCCTCCTGGAGGGCAGGCCGGGCTGGGGGCGGTGTGTCCATCACACGTCACCTCTGGCTTGTCGCCGTGCGGTGTGACCGGCGTCAGGCACTCGCAGGCCGTGAGGACAGGCTGCCCAGCCAGTGCGATGGGAGGGCCCGGGCAACCTCCCGCAGGGCCACGGGGGCGGGACCCCCTGGTGGGAGATGCACAGGGGACGGCCTTGCTGTGTTCACATTCGCTGTGCGTGTTCGGGGCGGGGCCTCAGACCTGCTGGTGGGAGCAGAGTCACGAGCGGTCTGAAGGGGGAAGGGCGGCCCTGCCTCCCCTGCCCAGGCCTGACGGGGGTCTGTGCACCAAGTACGGGCACTCGGGTCCCTCGGGTGCCGGGCTCCGGGCTGGCTGCACACCCCTCGGAAACACACCCGTAGTGCGGTCACTGTCACCGTGGGGAAGTGCTGGCGGCCTGGGTGGGGTGAGAAAGGCCCCCCGGGAAGGGATCAGCTGAGCCCTAGGTGACCACGGGAGTGGGGACTCACAGACCAGGGACCTTGCCGGTGTCATGGCTGAGCCGGTCCTCGGGCTGTCCAGGGATGTGGCTGTGCTGGGCACTCAGGCCCTGGGCCTCCCCGGGAAGGGAGGGGAAGAGATCGGGGAGGGGGAGACCAGGGCTTCCGCTGGAGTGAACGGGCCGCCAGGGGCCCTGTGTACCAGGGGCCCAGCAGCAGGCTGCGCCCACAGAGCCGGGGTGACCGCCAGTGGTCTGGGAGCCAAGGGGACTCACAGGCCCAGCCTCTGCTTCCCCGAGGTCCCCACGGCCAGGTGCCGCCACCTTGTGCTGCCAGCCCTGAAGGGCTCTGGGGACATCGGGGTCACTCAGGAGACCGTGGACAGAGGCTGAGCCTGCCGTGGGGGCCACACGTCCCTGTGGCTGGGTTTGTGTTCTTTTTCTTTTTCTTTGATGAGATCCATCGAGGTCACATTGACCCCTAACACAGTGGGAAGGTCAGACGTGCCAGACGTCTGTCCCCTCCGCAGTGCGCTCGCCCACCCAGGTCTACTGTCCTCCCAAACCTGGTGCGGCCACCACGGAGCTGGCATTGCTTCTAGGCAAACGTCACCTGTCCTCATTAAAAATCTTCCTGCCGCACCTGTTAACCAGCACCCCACGGGAGGTGTGCGACCCTGCAGCCCGAGTGCGGCCCACGCCCTCCTCCGGACACCAGTGCCCACTCTGCCCACCCAGTTTCACGGCCAGCGTGGGCCCAGGGGGCGGCGATCTCGGCTCCTGGCCAACGGGATCGGTTCTCGCCACCTCGTGCCGAAGCTCTGCTCCCGTAACGGTGCCGGCTCACAGGTGGGACGCTGTTGCTGAGCCGATCGATTCTTCCCCCGCCGGGGGGGAGAGGCGTGCGCAGGCCGGCGCCCGGAGCCTGCCCCTTCCCTTCCTCTGTCCTCGCTAGCTCCCGCAGCCCACGGGAGGGGGGTCACTGTTGATGACTAATTGAATCCGGGTCTGCACGTCTGAAACCAGGGCCCCTCCCCTCTCCCCGGAGCCGGCCAGCGCCCCAGGAGCTGGGGCCCAGGGACCCAAATTAAAGCCCGGCCATTTTCAAGGGAGGCCAGACAAATGAGTCAGCTCGCGGTTTTTGCACAGTGGGCACTTTCCGGGCCGCCACCTAATTTAATTTTTGCTTTTCTGTTGTGTTGTGCTGTGTGCATAATAAGTCCCCTTGTATGTGGGCCGTGTCTGCTAAAGAGCAGGCCAGGCCCACGCCGGGTGGGGCGGGAGCTCGGGTGGGCGGTTCACGCTGACCCCACTGCGCTCGGTAAATGCGTGAGCTTGGAAGATGGGGCGCAGCTGCCTCTGTGTTCGGCTTGTTGCTCATTCATTAGCTGACTCGCTTGTTCGTTAGTTTCAATAAGATGCACACCCTCCAGTGCAGGGACGGCAGGAGGGAGACTGGTCCCTAAAATACTTGGTCCGGCCCGCAGGTGGGGCCGTGGGGCTGGGCCACCTCTCAGGGCAGGGGCGCGGGACCCCAGGGTGCACCAGGGTCTTCCTGCCCCAGACCGGCAGAGCTGCAGGTCTCAGGGGGCAGCGTCTCAGCGGGGTGTTGAGGGATGAAGAGGAGCTCGCCGGGAGGGCTTCTCTTCCTGAAAGGAGGGGCTGGAGGTGGGAGGGGACTCCTGGCCTGTCCCCGAGCCCCAAGCATTTCCGGGTGTGCTGTTCCCCAGAAGTGCACCGTGTCTGTGTGCGCCAGCTTGGCGCTGTTCCAACTTGGACACCATCGGGAACAAAGGTCTCCGCCCCGCCTGCCCCCTCCCCCTGTGAGGAAAGGGCTCTGCCCTGGTGGGCGGGGAGAGGAGAGGAGAGGAGAGGGGGCGGCACCCGTTTGGTCAGCACTTGGGAGAGCGCGCATTTGCCTGTGTTCGGGAGCACGGACACATCCCAGATGCCGCCGTGTGGCCTCCGCTCTGACCTGTGGGCAAGACCGTGCCGAACTCGACCTCCCTGCAGGGGTGTCCCCACTCTGCTCTCGGGGAGACCTGTCCCAGGTGGGCTGTGGCCAGCCGTGTCCAGGTGCGAGAATCATCGTGAGATTTTCAGAAATCCTGGGAGCTCGTTGTTAGATGTGGCTGTTACCGGAAGTTAAGTGACGTGAACTTGGCTGTCAACAAATGACACTAAGGACAGAGGTGCCACCTGAAGACCCAGGGAGACGAGAGGCAGCTCAGCCCGAGTCAGCGGAGGGAAGCGTTAGAAGGAAATCACAGACCTGGAGCCCGGACACCCACCAGCGGCCACCGAACCAACGGCCGGCTCCCGGGCACGTGGAGTGAGCGAGGTTTTAGCTGCACCGGTGGCGGGGGCGTCCTCTGACCCCGGAGTGAGAGAGAGGGCCCCCCTCTTTTATTACCTGCTCTTCAGAAATGGAGACGGTTAAGAGGGACCCTGCGCACACCCGTGCCAGCGAACTGGGTGACTCAGGTGGCCTGGACGCGCCCCCACAGGCCCACACAGTGGCTCAGGACAGAACGGAAGGTCTGACTAGTCCCGGGAGCAGAGTGACGCAGTAACCGCTCAGCCAGAAGAGCCCGGGACCAGGCAGCCCCGTGGAGAACCCTGCCCGGCTTAAAGAGGCACGAACGCCAGTTCTCAAGTTCTTCCCAACAAGAAGAAGAGGAGGAGGCACTTTCTAACCCGTGCCACGGGCTGGCGTCCCCCCAATACCGAGACCCTTAGACACGGCAGCACACGGAAACCGCACGTCTGAGGGCAGAGACCAGACCCTCCAGGAGACACCAGCGGTCGAAGCCAGTCACGGATGCGCCAGGTCGCTCGGCACGACCAAGTGTGTTTGGTCTCCAGGGGACACGGCGGGAGCCGACACACGGAAGCCAACGCAGACCAGAGCGACTGAACGCAGGACGGGTTCCCGTCATCACCTCCATAGCTGCAGAGTAAACCGTTCACGGAGCCCAACACGTTTTCCCGATCAAAACTCGGCCAACGAGGGCCAACAGTGTGGCGGGGGGTCTGTGGACACATCAGACCACGTCGCACTCGGTGGGAGGACCGGTGCCTCCACCCGGAGACCGGGAACGGGCGACCTGCACCCCACGCTGCCACCCGCGTGGCCCTGGGGGTCAGGACGGAGCAGCGGGCGGAAAGCGAGTCACGGTGACCCTGATGGGAAAGGGGACGACGACCGCCCCACAGACGGTGTGACCGGCGGTGCTGAGCGTCTAAGGGAACCCGCGCCCTCAGAACCCTAATGGAGGAGCTTGGAGGGGCCGCGGGGTGCACAATCAAGACGCAAAACCAGTCGCATTTCCCTACAGGGGTCGAAAATGATCTCAAGGAAGTGATTCCATGGACAGTAGCCTCAGAAGGAAGAATGCACGCCTGGAAAACTGAACAGAAAAAATGTTGGATTTGCCCCGGCTGGTGTGGCTCAGTGGATTGAGCACCAGCCTGTGAACCAAAGGGTTGCAGGTTCCATTCCCAGTCAGGGCATGTCCGTGTTTCTCTCCCTCTCCTTCTCCCTCCCTTCCCCTCTCTCTGAAACTGAATACATAAAATTTTAAAAAAGAGAAAGAAACCTCAGACTTGTGCATGGAGCGGAGCCGGGGCGGAGTCAGCCCGAGAGCCCTCCCCGGCCCGGCTGGAGGCCGTCTCGCTGCCACACCAGGGCCCCCCAGCCAGCCCGGGGGCCGGAGGGCGGGACCACCTGGATCCTCCGGAGCCTCCAGGACACAGACCCAGTGCCGGGGCCGTGACCGGTGCCCGGGGGCCGTCGGTCACTGAGTCCTGACGCCTGTGTGACACCTGGCGAGGCCGCACTGCCAGAGCCGGTGGCTCTGGGCGCGGGGCACCCCGCAGCTCCTGTCCTCGAGCAGGGCCATCCGGGTTCTTGACAGTCACCGCAAGTGTCCAGGACGCGCTGTGCTAATAACACCACCCCCCTCCTCTCTCACCTTTTAATCAGCTGCTGAGAGTCATCAGCCTGCACGAGGGGAGACGTGGGGGAGCCGGCTCTCAGGGAACTCTCGCCAGGACACCGGGAGCCGATGCGGCCCAGCGGGGGGCGGGGCCCTGATTGCGACGACTCTGCTCTGGGGGGGGGGAGCGGGGGTCTTGCACTGATGGCCACATCCAGGGGCCTCTCCGGCTGCTCTGCCCCCGTAGCTTAGGGACATCACAGGTGTCCCCCTTGGGGGCGGTGAGACCCGTCACACCGGGCCCCTCCCTCGGAGAGCCCCGAGTCTGCTCGGGAGGACGGGGGCCGGACAGAGGCTGGACTTCCTGCCGAGCCGTGGCCTCTGGGAGGGACGCCAGAGCGCACCCGGCCGCGAGCCCCGCCCCTCTGGGCG